AGGAAGTTGACGGGCCAGCTGTCAGGACAGGGGCAAGGGAAGGGAAGATAAGGCCCCAGGAGCTGATGGGTGAGGCATCTGACCAACAGTGGGTACAGGAGCCTCTGCAGTGCTGGGCTTCATACCGGCCCGGGCAGCTGCAGCCTCGGACAGTCCGGCAGCCACATACGTCTGCAGAGCCAGTGTGGCCCATAGCAGGCCCAGGGCCTGGGAATTGACATTCAGTTCAGGGGATTCCAGGGACCACATCAAGTCGCCGCCCCCCCCCCCCACCCCCCGCCTGGCATTCTCTCTGATCCAGCGGCTGCTTAAGAGCCGTCTTAGCTCAGGCCACCATAACACCCCACCACAAGCTGGCGGCTTCAACAACAGAAGTGTGTTTTCTCAGTTCTGGAAGCTGGGAGCCTAAGATCAAGGTGCTGGCAGGGTTGGTGTCTGGAGAGGCCTCTTTTTCTGACTTGTCGACGACCACCTTCTCGCTGTGTCCTCATGTGGCCTCTGTGCAGGGAGAGAGCAGCTGGCGTCTCTTCCTTCTCTCATAGCACCGGACCTGTCAGATTAGGGCCACCCCTGTGGCTCATTCCACCTTCCTTACCTCCTAGGCCCCGTCTGCAGGTACAGTCACCCGGGGGGTCAGGGCTTCGACACCGAATTGTGGGGAGACCATTCATAACAAGAGGAGCGGCTGACAGCCTTCAGGAGCAGTGACAGTGCCAGGTTTTAGTTTCCAATCTCAGGAAGATTAGTTCGCCGGCGGCCAGAGGCCCCTCGGCCCGTCTCCCGGCGATGACAGACGGAGCGGGCTGTGACAGCGGGGGATGAAAAATGGAGACCCTCCCCTCCCCGGCGCCGCGGGCATGATGCGGGGAGTTGAAGGATGAAGAGGCCCGAACTCCTGATTCCCTACTTAAGACTTGATTGCCTCAGAGACGCCAGCGCCTGCCCTTTATCAGCAGCCTCCTCCCGACACTCAGAGGGGACGCTCTGCTCTGAGTCCTTCGGGATAAATAATGTAGCCGCAGAGCAGAGTCTCCGGCTGCAGCTTCGTTATGGCAACATCCCTCTCTGCTTCCGGGTGAGGAGGAGGAGGAGGAAGAGAAGGAGGAGGAGGAGGAGGAGGTGGAGGAGGAGGGAGCCGGAGCCCTCCAGAAGCTC